GAATCCCACCATCACGCTCTTTTACCCTCAAAGACTCCTGCCCCTTCTCCCTTGGCCATCCATGGGCACCACACATCCATTCCCAGCGGTTCTCACTTCCGGTCATCTCCAAGCCCTGCTTTTCAATGCCCATAGCCACTGTCATGATAGCGGTCCTCTTTCTGGGTCCGACACTCATGGGAGCATCTTTCAGCGCTCCCTCAGCCCCCAGGACAGCCCTCTGCATGGGGAGACAGACGCTTGGTTAGGCCTAGGCAGTCACCCCAGAGCGAGTGCCTTCTGAAGAAGGCATGAATGTAGCTGCTGCTCCTCCTTCTCCTCCTCCTCGCCTTCCTTTTCCTCTTTCTGCTTCTTTTCCTCCTCCCTTTATTTCTCCCTGCCTTCTTCTCCTTTAGTTTCTCCTCCTCTTCCTCTTTCCTTTCCTCCTCTCCTTCTTCCTTCCCCTCTTCCTTCTTTTCCTCCTCCCCCTTCTTCTTCCTCCTACTCTTCTCTTCCCTCTCCTTTTCTCCGTTTTCTGCCCTTCTGCCTCCTCCTGTTCTTCCCCCTCCTTCATCCGCTTCCTCCTCTTCCTCCTTCTCATCACACAGGTCTGTGAGCTTCAGTAGCCTGTTTCCTGGGCCCCATACATATGACACCTGCCATCTTCTGGGAAATCCATTTTCTCCAGCACTTTTCCACTGGGACCAACATTAAAATGGAAATGCTTTGATTTGATTTGATTTTTTTTGATTTGTAGATACTTTTGCATTTTTATTTGTATACAGTTTTTACATTTTTATTCTGTCACATACAGATAGGGCTCAGACAATTGGAGGAACATATACCCTGTCTGAGAGGCTGTCGATACCAAACCTCCCCCATGCCAACCTCCCCCATGACAAGTTCCTTGTCACTTACAGGTGTTCTTTGGCAGGTGTTTTCTTACGATTGGGGGTGCCTGGATGACCTGGGCTGGTCAAGGGTGTGTGTCTTGCTGTTTATGGAAACCTAAGAGAAGATATGTTAGGTACATCAGGATTTGGGGGACATCTGGAGCTGTCCGGACACATTGAGAGCTGGCTGTGTATCATGTGCTGTCGGGAGACCGTAGGAAAGCAGACCGTTCAACTATAATGGAGTTCGTATGCCTCTGAGATGGGATGAGATAGTTTTAGTTTGCAATCACTGGCTTACAGTGATTTTATGGCATCCCCAAGGCTTATTATGGGATATGGGTTGTTATAGTTACAAGAAAGCTATCCAGACTAGGTGGGGACAGTGAGAGATGCAGCAGGATAGAGGCAATGTGTGGCTGCCTAAATCTTTGTCTAGTAAAGTGTCTTTGAGGGGGAAGTATGCCTTGCCTACCTATGCCCCTGGGTATTCAGAATCAGGGGAGCTTCTTGAAAATCCCACAGGCTGTAAGCTCTCGGTCCTTTGTAGCCTCAGGGATACCCAAGAGGCCACACAGACAGACACCACCACCACCACCACCACCCCACACCCTCCATTAGCAGAAAATGCACTGCTGCACCTCTGACATCATTCCAGGAGGACGTGGCCTTTTTAAAGGCCTTTTCTCATCTATACTTCACTGGGTGCAGTGTGACTAGGGCTGCTAAGTGCTCACAGTGACTGCAGTCCTTCAGGCAGGAGCGTGGTGAGCTTACAGAGTTCAGACTCTGGAAACAGGCGGCTCAGATTTCCAGCTGGCTCTGCCACCAGCTCCAGGAGACAGGAGATGGTGTGTCACTTAGCACCTGTGTGCTTCCCACTCCCGGCCCCTCCCCTCTGGGAGGGCGGGATCAGCCACACCTGCGCAGGCCACGTGGGGTTGTTAGGGTGACCCAGTACCGGGAGACTTGGAGAGCAACTAAAACAGTGCCTGACTACTTTGCAAGCCTTACCAGAAAACTTGCCAAAGAAATCAACCAACATACATTCTAGTCCAGTTCTTTAATGTTGTGCCCTCTTTCCAAAGGCCTCATATTGCGTCTTCTCCTGAAGAGAGTAAACTGACAAGTATGAAATTGGATGGATTTTCTTTATTAAGATGAAAAGTGTTTTTGAAACAATTAGCTGGTCAGAGTAGTGTACACCATTTTGTCTCAGTTTTCAGGAGGCAGAGGCATCACTTGAGCCCAGGGGTTGGAGACCATATATATATATAAAGTTAGACATGTTGAAGGAGTACTAGTGATCTTGATTTAGCATTTCCTAGCCCATATCTGAGGTCCGTTCCCAGTAGCCTTTTTTAAGTATGAACCCGGCCTCCCAGGAGCAGAGTTACTTGTCTTGTCTATCCATACCCAGGCTGTGGTGAAGCCCACATTCTTCCTTTCCAGCTACTGTAAAGCTCATGACCTCCTCTTTTTTTTTTTATTGTTGTTGTTCTTGTTTGTTTGTTTGTTTCTATGTGCCGGTACTGGGGCTTGAACTTGAGACATGGGTGCTGTCCCTTAGCTAGAGCCACAGCTCCACTTCTGGCTTTTTGCTAGTTAGCTAGAGATAAAGAAGGTCACAGACTTCGCTGTCCAGGCTAGCTTTGAACCATAATCCTCACATCTCAGCCTCCTGGGTAGATAGGATTACTGAACAGGTGAGCCACTGGCGCCTGGCTCTGACTTCCCTGTTTAGAGGGTACTAGAGTAGAAGCTGTACAAATACGTAGGGCTGGCAGAAGGAATGATTGTAAGGCAGAGCAGAGCCATTTGCTTGGTGTGCCCTTGGGCCTGGGTTGGCTTGGTAACTGGAGCAGAACCCCTCCCACCCCCCACTAAAAATGAGTAGTGCTCTCTCCTCTAGCTGCTTCCCCTGGGCGCTCCCCGTCTTCTCCAGCCCCAGGGTTTGGTGAATACCCTGCACCACAGCGGCCAGGGCCATCTTCCTGTGGAGGTGCTTACCTTACCTGGAACTGAACTTCCACCCCTGCCCCCAGAGCACACGGATGGTAGCCTTTAGCATAAAAGAAAAGAAAGGATTTACTGTCTTCTCTCACTTGCATTTATATTGAGTGTCTAGCCTTAGGATCCAGAACAGTCTGTTTCAACGGCTGAGCTGCTTTTGTCTATCAGGAAAACAATTGATATTGAGGACTGGGATTCACTATGTAGCCTAGGCTGGCCTCCAACTCCAGATCCTCCTGCCTTGGCCTCCCGCATGTTAGAGTGACAGGTGTGTGCCACCTCACCCGGCTCAACATTTAAATCTTTCTCTGTGTGTGTGTGTGTGTGTGTGTGAGAGAGAGAGAGAGAGAGAGAGAGAGAGAGAGAGAGAGAGAGAATTTAAGTGCTTAATAGTGCATGGCAGTGAATTCGTTGAGTGGAGCCCTAGATCAAGCCTCAGTTTTGGTCCTCATCTACCCTCGCTCCTTTGCCCGGCCTCCACCCACTGCTTCCTCCTTCCCCTCAGCCCTCCTCCCAGTTCCCCAAGTCAATTTTAAGTCTTAACTGGCTTTTCCTTGTTTGGTGTCCTTCCAACCTGACCTGCTGCCACAGTGCTTCTTAAAGGCTTCAGTTGTAGCTGCTGGCTGCCTATGCCCAGAGCATGCGCAGTTAGGCGGCTCTAGAATTAAGTTCAGGCCCCACTCTGCCACTTAGTACCTGTACCGGTGCAGATTATATGCCAGTGTGAGTAACCAAGGCAGTATAGAGTGACTGATCCAAATATGAATTAATTCTGGTCCCAGTCACAAGCCTGGTGGGGGCAGCTGCCTTGCCTGGTGGGGGGGGGCGGGGGGAGGGTAGTCAGGGCACTTCTCTTCCCGCCCAGCGGATGGGTGGCTGCTGTCCCCTTGCTGGCATCTCCTGGATGCCCCACCACCAACTTTGAAGGGGCAGGGCCCAGCAAAGTGTATGTGAACACCTTAGGCCCTACCCAGTAACTCCTGTTGGACCAAGCACTTCGCCAGTGTCTTGCTGTAGCATCACTCAGCATAAATTAGGTGCTTCATAGCCATATGCCAGTGCTTCTTTTTACTTTTTTCTTTTTCTTTTGGTGCCAATACTGGAGCTTGATCTTAGGGCTTGATCTTAGGGTACTGTCCCTTCGTTTTTTTTCACTCAAGGCTAGTGCTGTACCACTTGTGTTACGACTCAACTTCCAGCTTTTGGGTGGTTAATTGGAGATACGAGTCTCATGGACTTTGCTGCCTGGACTACTTTTGAACTGCGATCTTCAGATCTCAACCTCCTGAGTAGCTAAGTAGCTAAGGTTACAGGCGTGAGCCACCAGGGCCCGACCTCTCCCCCCTTCCCTCTCCATCCCATCCACTCTCCCTCCTCTCTTTCCCTACCCTTCCCTTCCCTTTCCTCTCCTTCCTTCCCTTCTCTTCCCCTCCTTCCCCTCCTCTCTCCTCTCAATACTCTTTTTCTCTTTCCTTCTTTTCTCTTCTCCTCCCCTCCTTTCCTCTCCCCTCTCCTTCCTCTTCCCTGTCCTTTCTTCCTTCTTCTCTCCTTTCTACCTCTCTCTTCCCTCTCTCTTCCCACTCCTCTCCCCTCCCCTTTTCCCTTCTCCTCCCCTCTCTCCTTCTTTCTCTCCTCTCTTCCTTCTTCTCTCCTTTCTACCTCTCTCTTCTCCCTCTCTTCCCACTCCTCTCCCCTCCCCTTTTCCCTTCTCCTCCCCTCTCTCCTCCTTCTTTCTCTCCTCTCTTCCTTCTTCTCTCCTTTCTACCTCTCTCTTCCCCCTCTCTTCCCACTCCTCTCCCCTCCCCTTTTCCCTTCTCCTCCCCTCTCTCCTCCTTCTTTTTCTCCTCTCTTCTCTCTCCTCCTTGCCTACATTCTAGATCAAAGCTACTTGGAATCAGGGATTGTGTCTTGGCCAGTTGTGGGTCATTCTGGCCTCCGGCTCCATGCACAGCACAGTACAGGGACTTCTCTGGAGGTGTTTGGTGGAAGGTGCAAGCTAGGCACACAAGGGAAGCCATGCTGGTGGAATTGGCATACTGCATATAGATGCAAACTCATTGGCTCCAGTAGTGAAGACTCTTCACCTGTTGGCATTTGTTTCTCTCTCCACCCCAGTGCTTAGAAAGAGCCATGAAGTTTGCCTTCGAGGAGTTCCACCTGTGGTACCAGTTTGCCCTGTCACTGATGGCTGCTGGAAAAGTGAGTGGTGTTGTATGATGTCTCTTTGTTGTGTGGACTAGTCTGTTACTGAATTTCACACTGCCTGTGCTGGGATCCTGTCATAATGGAAAAACAAATGTCATCATTTTGGAGCCAAGATGGACATAGTACTATGATGAACGTTTCTGAAATATTGGCCTTTGCTGGCTGTTGGGACACATTCATATGAAATGGACTGGTTTAAACTAAAGCCTGTGCTGACGACCCTCATACTTGTTTGGAAGTGTAGACATTCCTCAAAGGGAGGCCTTTTGGTGGTCTTCAGCAGTGTGTGATAGAAGACGGCGTAGAGCACTGGAAGTGTAGGGAACAGATCGAGGGCATCCGCAGGGTGCAAGCCTGGGTCCCATCACAGCTAAATGACCCAGCACACGTTGCATTACCCGCCTAGCAAAGTGAGCAATACAAGAACCTACTTCTAGAGTTCTGACCGGACAGGTGAGCCATTGTGAGTTCGGAGCTCAGGACAGCAGCTCACTACACGCACTCAGGTGTATGGAAAGGTGGGAAGGGGGTAGCTTCTGTTTTTCTCATTCATTGGGGCCCTTCAGGACTAAGGCCTCACTCAGTTGGCTTTTTTGCTCGGGGCTGGCACTCTACCACTTATGCCACATCTCCACTTCCAGCTTTTTGCTGATTAATTGGAGATGAGTCTCATGGATTTTTCTGCCCAGACTGACTTTGATCCACAATCCTCAGATCTCAGTCTCTTGAGTGGCTAGGTTGACAGTCATGAGCCATCAGCACCTTGCCGGGATATTTTATTTTTATAATAGCATAAGCTTCTGTTATTTTCCATGGCTACACAAGTGGCAGGGACCTTAGGGCGTGCCAGGGGTACATTATCACTTGTTTCTGGCTGCACTGTATTCCCCTGTTACTCGGGATTCTGATTCTGGCCATCCTCAGACCCCTGCTTGGTTGGGAAAGCCCTCTGGGAAAACTATCTGGTTCAGTCCAACATGTTGAGTTTCACTGAAATCCTCTCCTCTTGCCAAGTCTGCCCGGGCTGTGAAGGTGCTGAAGGAATGCATCCGGCTGAAACCCGACGATGCCACTATCCCGCTCCTGGCTGCCAAGCTGTGCATGGGCTCCCTTCACTGGGTGAGTAGGGGCCGGGGGGGAGGGGAACTACCCTCTGCTCCTCAGGAGGTCTCCAAGTCAAGCAAAACCATTTCCCTGCCAAAGCAAGGGGTCTGCTCCTGGTTTCCTTTTTCTTGGAAATGGACCGGAAAAGTAGCAGTGATCACACCATTTAGAATGCACGTTCAGGCCCATCTTGCTATGTGTAAGTCTTGTAGGCCATAGGAAGCGTGTGCCACACCAGTTCACCCTTTGGGCAGTCTGGGCTTTCTGTAAAACCAAACTGTTCTCTGCTTCAGCTTGTGCACACCCACTCTCTGCCACTCTCCTTCACTCATGCTTTCTTCTTCAAGTATTCATGTTCCTATATCAGTGCAACAACCTGATTGATAACAGTTCTAATTCCTCAAAGATACATCATTAGAGAATAGAGCGCCTAGGCTAATGTGTGAAGAGGGCGAGATAGATAAATGCCTCATAGGATGAAGTTTTCATTTCTTTGCTGTATTTGTTTTATTTTGTGCTGGTACTGGGGCTTGAACTCAGGTCCTCACACACTCACTAGGTTTTTTCTGCTCAAGGATGGTATTCTCTCAGTTCAGCCACAGCTCCACTTCAGGCTTTTTTTTTTTGCTGGTTCATTGCAAATAAGAGTCTCAGACTTTTCTGCCTGGATTATTGGCTTCAAACCTTGATCCTTTGGATCTCAGCCTCCTGAGTCGCTGGTAACTGGCCATTGAAATACTTTTAAAGGAATCATTTTTATTCTTTTGTGCAGGCATGCCCTTTGGGGGTGTAGTGCATAGGTGTGTACATTCTCACTGCGAGCCGCTGGCATGGTCCATGTGCTGTGTACTATACAAAAAAAAAAAAAAAAGATGGGAGCTTTGAACATTTTAACAGGTTGTGACAAATAGAATTCAAATGGATTCTTTATGTCATTAAAAAAAGACCCAAGCAAAAGTAAAGTTCCAAGAACTTTATTCTTTCCAAATAGACTTAATTCAACTTCTGAATGCCTAGTACAACCTAACTGCAGAACTCATCCGTAAACTAATAAAAGTAGAAAAATGACTTTGGAAAAGGAGGCAAATAAGCAATAAGGGAAAACTTAAAGAAAAAAAATCCAAGGATAGGAGTCCTGAGGGCCGTTGGATAGGCTCAATAAAGAAGACAGAGTGGCTGGAGTGGTATTGGAAGGTTTGGGACTTACTTCCACGGTGACTCATCAGAAATTCATTTTGGGCAGCAGATACGGGAACTCATGTTAGAAATTCTGCAGATTGTTGTTTTTAACTTGTCTCATTTTTCAGCTGGAAGAGGCTGAGAAGTTTGCCAAAACCGTCGTGGATGTGGGAGAAAAAACGTCAGAGTTCAAGGCCAAAGGCTACTTAGCCCTGGGGCTCACCTACAGTCTGCAGGCCACTGATGGTAAGAGAAGTCCTGCCGTGCAGGGACCCAGGCTCCCCTGAGCCTTGCCAGAGGGCAGAGTTGGGTCACCCTGGCACGTAGGCCTGTGGGCACCTGTGCTGCCATCCTCCTTGCCTGGACTGGGAGGGGAGGGAGGAGGGCTCTATTCAGAGGTGGAGGGGGCTGATTGCGCCCCAGCTCCTACCTAGCTGGAGAAGGGCAACTACCAATATGTGGGATGAGCTGGGCCTTGAGAAATAAGTCACCCAACCCCTCCTTGCACCTGCCGGGGCCCCAGCACTTGACCTGGACCATTCTAAGTGAAAGATGTTGGCTGTAGATATGAGAGTATAGAAGAGTTCAGGACCAGACTTTCCCAGGAAGTGAACCTGGCGGGAGACTGCCCCTCTTGCATTCACACATTCTAATTCACAGACAGGTACACATGTAGTCTAGCAGGTCACCAAGTATCCACAGCTCTTATGGGGAATAAACTTTAGTTTTCCTTGGTGGAACTGGGGTTTGAGCTCAAGTCCTCATGCCTTGTAGGCAAGTACTTTGAGCCACATCTCCATCCTCTCCCCCTACTTTTTTTTTTCCTCTAGGCACTTTTTAGATAGGGTCTGAGGTCTTCCCTGGGGCTGGCGTCAGACCTAGAGACTGCTGCCTACCCTATGAACACCGTGCCTAGCTTATTTGCTGGGATTTGATGTCATTGACTTTTTGCCCTGGCTAGCCTAGAACTGAAGTCCTGAACTCTGCTTCCCAGGTAGCTAGAATTACTGATTTGAGCCCTTCAGTGGCAGTCATTTATATATTTTGGGTTTCCTTAAAATTTTGGTCAGCAGGCTTCTGACTTAAAAAAACAGAACTTGAATTATATTTTACATTCTTAAAGAAGCTTTTGTAGGAAATAAGTTGATAAGTTATTTTTCTGATGTTTGTTATTTTTTATTTTTTGCTGGTCCTGAAACTTGAACTCTGGGCCTGAGCTCCTTTTTTTTTATTTGCTCAAAGCTAGCACTCTACCACTTGAGCCACAGCACCACTTCCAGCTCTTTCTGTGATTAATTGGAGTTAAGAGTCTCACAGATTTTCCTGCCTGGGCTGGCTTCATACTGTGATCCTCCAATCTCAGGCTCCTGAGTAGCTAGGACTGCAGGTGTGAGTTACCAGTTTAATGTAAGGCAAAATGCCTTGTAACCCTCACCCTGCTCAGAGAGTAGAACTTTGCCCACCACCTGAAGCCCTCCACAAGCCCGTGCCAGTTACATCCCCATCCCCATAAGAAAAAACCTTATTCTTACTTACACAGTGCTGCTTTTTTCCTTTATAATTTTGTTGTAGCCCGTTTTTAGAAATTACCCCTTTTCCTCTGTCCTAAAATATGAATGACCCTGGAGAAGTTTTGCATATCTGGTATTTTTCAGTAATGGATTTCTGGTTAATTTTCCATTTCCACATGACATATTGACCATAGTCAGCACATCGCCTCAGATATAAGAGCCAATCATGGAAGAGTAACTTAGTGCCATAGACTTACCCAGGTCAGAAGATTGCCCCAAATTAGCCCTGTAATCTCAGGGTCACTGGCCCTGTTGGCCCTCCTCTTACATTCATGGCTCATTTTAGTTGCTCTGAGGCTCTCTTTAGCTCAGTCACTATTGTTCTGGTAGCCCTGGGCTGGAGCTTTATGGTCCAGCGGTTGATGAGGCCCTTCTGCACTTCCAACCACAGACATGTTCCTCCAGGGATGTACTTTCTTGTCCCAGCATCACTTATTTTGTTAATGGAGAGGCTATGATGGAGCCCACACTCGTGTGCTCTCACAGGGCACACCGGGGTGGCCACACACTTTCGAGCTGATACTCCAGTATCAAGGTGGAGATTGGCAGCTCCATCTCTTCTGTTCATATCAAGGTAGTAGAGGTCCTGGCCAGTGTGAGTTAAAGTGGCCTTTTATGGCTCCAAGCTATTGCCCTTGAATCAGGATCAGAGCCTCTCAGTGCCAGCTGCTCTCTTAAGGCCATTGGTCCAATGCCACTGATGTCCCATCCCTACAAGCCCACGAGAGCTAGTGACATTATACACCTGAGAAAGGCCATTTGTGCTCCTTCTAGAGTTCCACATGGTTTTGTGGAAATAGCCTAGGATAAGCCTGGCTACTAAGAGTGACCATTCCATTTCACTGTTCGCTTGATGTTGTTCTATGGTTGGGTTCACTGAATGCAAGTGTCTTGGGGGTGAGCCTGGCCTGCCATCCTGCCTCACATTGCCTGCTGCAGGAGGCCCTCGGGAGCTGTTACTCTTAATGTGTCACCCTGGGAATGGGCTCTTTATTGTAAAAAGAACTCTGATCTCTGGTGCACTGACTAATGGAACCCTTCTCTCAGCTTCCCTGCGAGGCATGCAGGAGGTCCTGCAGAGGAAAGCGCTGCTTGCATTTCAGAGGTGAGTGGGAGTTCATCTTTTCACTCAGCTGTACATAATGACACTCAAAAGATGATAAGTATAAAAAGAAGGTATTTATAAGAAGGTATTTATAAAGATTATGTAAACAGTGTTTTGCCCCCAGAGCCTTTCGTCTTGAGCAGCCAACATGCAGAATCAAAACTTGCTGCATCACTTGTTGCCCTGTAAATCGACATTCTTAATTTGTTTATCCATTTGGGTACATTCTATTCATCTTTGGTAACAAATGGCTTTCAGCTCAGAAAAGACAGACGCTCTGTGTGTCTAGGGAGATGACGGTTCCTTTATTAAAGACATTTGTCATCATCTAGAGAAGGAATCTTTTTCTTTCTCCTTTTTTTTTGAATACACATCAAGCTGCAGGCTTTTCTATTATGAGATGAAAAAGCTCAATTAGAAAGGTGGAAAAATGCAGTCATAACATTCAATGTATATATGCGAAATGGAACGAGAAAAACTGAGGGGATGGGTGGGATTGGGAGAGGAGGGGGAGAATGATAAAGGGGTGACACTGGTCCTGGTGCATTGTTCTCATAAACTGACAGGCTGAACTGAACCCCTTTCTTTGTATGACTGTGTAAAGATAATAAAAATATAATTGTAAAAATAATAATAAGTAAAATGACCATCTCTTTACCAGGGGGAAAACAACAACAAACAAACCAGCCCAGTGAGTCCCAGGCTCCATTCCCCACTTTGCTCCCTAATGCCTAGTGATTAGGACAGTGAACTCAGGGCTCCTAATGGTACAATGCCGAGTGTCTCCTGATGTCCTCTTATGTCCCTGCGGTGTAGACCAATAGTTATGTCATTGCAGTATGAGACTGAGTTGCAAAGATTGTAAAAGTCACCACCATATGATTAAAGACACTGTAGCATCAAGATATCCTGACTCTAACCTAGATTTTCTTGTACCTACTGTCCTACATTGTCCTGTTTATTTGGTGGAAGTAGAGCTTGAGCTCAGGGCCTTGTGTTTAATAGGCAAGGGCTCTACCACTTGAGCCATGGTCCCACGCCTCTAATTTTACTGCTATTATAGATAATAACAAATCCCTAAAATGAATTGCTGCCAGAATGTATAGTTCAAATCTAGAATTGGAAATGATCTTGTGAACTTAAAGACATCTAAGTTTACACTGATTTCTTAGAATTATGTTCGACAGTTACTTCTTTGGATTTTTCATGAGACCCTCCCCTGCCAAACACCTGTGAGAGCCAGGGTGGCCCCCAGGTGGGTCATGGCGTCCCTGTGCTTTTTCCGTAAAGGTCATTATCATTTGCTTTCAGCGAGGCTGCAGCATTTTCATCTCATTCCTTCCTGCTTCCTAGCAGGCCTGCCGATGGCTGCTTTACTTTGCCAGGCTCCATCTGCTTAATGACAGAAAGTACCAGTTGTCATCTGCAAACAGATCTCCTGTCTCTGTGCTAAGCTTTTGTTGGTGTTCTTCAGCACGGTGTGGAGAGCATTTCCATTTCAAATGATTTCAGGTTTTAGATTCTCCAGTCCTAGTTTGTAAAGCCCACACATGAATGCCTAAGAAAGTGGCCATTACATCTGCTTCGTCTCTCTTATATCATCACATCTTACTGGGTCTCTAAAAACAGCCCCCATGGTGGTCTGCCCGGAGCTGCCAGGATAACTCTATGTTATGTAACTGCCGTTCCTTGGCCTGAATTCATTTTTGTTCCTTTTCTGCTTAGGCTTTAATTCAAAGAGATGTAAAAATTTTAGTTCATATGGGAATAAAGAGTAATAAAACCCTACTAACCTAACTATTGTGAAGTCTAACCTAAATTAGTATTTGTGTGAAATATAGAATGTTTTCAAAGGGATAAAATTTTGGTTCAAGTACACATTGACTAGTGTGAAAAGTCAATAGTTGGAGTCCCATTAAAACCTTTAAAGGAAAGATTTTTAAGGAAATAAGAATGTTTTGTATTATTTCTTACATGTAAAGAAGTAATTTAAAACCACTTGGATAAGAAGTACTTTTTCCAGTATGTATTATATGTATTTTGCACATAATTCTATTTATATTTTTGTTTAAAAAAAGCCAGGTATCAGTGACTCACACCTATATATATACTCAGGAGGATGAGATCTGAGGATCATGGTCTGAAGCCAGCCTGGCAGCAAAGTTTATGAGACTCTTATGTTCAATTAACTAGCAAAAAGCAGAAAATGGAGCTGTGTCTCAAGTGGTAGAATGCTAGCCTTGAGCAAAAAGCTAAGGGACAGCACACAGGTTCTGAGTTCAAACTCCTCCAGTTCCACCACGCATGTGCCCGAAAAAAAAAAAAAAGAAAAGAAATATAATTTTACAAGAGATGGAGTTGCAGATACAGCATATAAAAATAGCTCTTAATTATTACTAGAGCCAGAAATCAGATATATGTTTCTCCTTGGAAGATTCAAGAGCGATGTTTTAAGATCTTCAAATAGTGGAGCTACATTGTAATTGTGAGACAATTCTTACACTGAGAAACTTAGCCCAAGTAGCTCCATCAATTCATTGGCTCTACACAAAACATAGTATTATTTGCAATGTTATGCATTGCTGCTTCTGTGGGCTCTCACGTCCTGCTGAGAAGAGCAACTGTGGGGATGTGGAGAGCATGTTTCAGTGCCCTGACCCACAAAGACAGAGAGCCAGGGCTGCTCCCTATGGGAGAGGAGGCCCACGGTTGTTTGTGCTGGTCAAATGCTGTGGTACAGTATATAACCCCACTCGGTTTTCCTACAGCGTCCTGACTTGACCTTAACTGTGGCATGTTGTGTGTGGCTAGTGTAAATCCATTCTGATTTATTGGGGACATTCTTAGCATTTTCCAGAACATAGGACTTTTAGTACTGAAGCCAGGGATATCCTGGGCACACCAACTTGGGTGCTCTAGGTATGTCACTACTGGGAGATCCCAGAGTTACCCAGTTACACACATTTTTTTCTTAGTTTACTAATTCTATGTCCACAGTAATCAAGAATGACAGAGTTTTCAAGAGCATTGGCTACAGAAGGCAACTGGGTGGGGCTGGGAAGGTGGCTCAGTGGTAGAGTGCTTGCCTTGCATGCATGAGGCCCTAGGTTCGATTCCTCAGCACCACATAAGCAGAAAAAGCCAGAAGTGGTGCTGTGGCTCAAGTGGTAGAGCGCTAGCCTTGAGCTGAAGAGCTCAGGAACAGTACCCAGGCCCAGAGTTCAGGCCCCACAACAGAGGGAAAAAATAAAAAAGGCAAGAAGGTGATTGTGTAGAGACCAGACCTTGGCAGCACACATTCCCCCATTCTATATCTGGCTATACCTCTTTTGCTGAGTGTTCTTAGGCAAGATGCTTGACAGTAGATAATTGCATCATAGCTCTTATTGTTCCAAGGTATATGTCTTAAAGACCAGGGTTAAGTGTGATCATCAGCCTTCTTTGTAGTCTTGGTTCAGCACTAGAGAGTGCTGGAGCTGGAACTGGGGAGCGCTCTGGGTCTCACAGCATGCTGGAGGCCAGCCAGGTGGTCTAGGCAGTCCATGCTCCAACAGCACCCCTGGACACTGCTCCCATGGTCCTCGATGATCATATTTGGTCTCCCCCTCTGTGGGGGGATTGATCTTATTGATGTCCAGGCTCCGCAGCCTAACAGTAGGCACTCATGATGTGGAAGGTCAGGTGAGTGGGTGGCATGGGCGGCGGTGGCAGAGAACTTGGACTCATGAATGAGGAAGTGCTTTAACAGTGGAAGTGCTCTGTGAGCCTCCCTGGGTCTCTGGGTGTCTTGTAGCAGCCAGGGCAGGTGTTCCCTGCCTGGGGATGGGTTGTGGGGGCTGCTTTCAATCCCCTGGCAGAGCTCAGCGGGCTTGACTTGCACAGCTTGATGGTTTCTGTGGAGCAGGTTAGCAGGGGGCACATCAAAGGGGGAAGCCCAGGGGCTAAAGTGTCCAGCAGCCTACATAGAAGGAATGCACTGCACTGGTTCTCGTATCTTTTGACCGTCTCCTTACTCCCATTCTCCTTTCTTAGGCTGAAGTAGACAGTTTGATCCATTGGCCAGAATTTCCGAGGAAGGTATTTAAATTGTGTGTGTTTAAAGCAGACCCCACTAGAAACTTGGTAGTTAGGTTTTCATTGATAGTCAGGTTGGAAATTCTTTTTGAAAAAAATTTTTATTGCTATTGTAAAGTTGACACCCATAGAGGTTATAGTTACATAAGTCAGATAAAAGAGTACATTTCTTTGGGGACAATGTACTACTCCAGTTTTTTCCCTCCCATCCCCAGCCATCGTTGTATAGTTCATTTTCAACATAGTGTCTAGTTAGCACCACTGCTGCATTTGGTCCTTCTTTGTCCCTCCATTTCTGTGCCCCCCCCACCTTCCTAAAGATATAAGTGAATAAACAGAACACAAGGAAAGAAACAAAAGCAGCAAAAAAAAAAGAAAAAAAACCTCTTCTTTCCATTTCCTGGAGTTCATTTCTATAAATTTTATTTTGTGTGATCAGATGCAGATAGGCACGCACCCCTGGTTGCTAGTGCTTCTGGCTTGTTCCTTTCACACGCACCCCTGGTTGCTAGTGCTCCTGGCTTGTTCCTTTCACACAGCTGTGGCCAACAGTTCACAGCCATCTGATGAGAGCAGGGCGGGGCCTTTGACAGAGCTACCATTATCCACGCCGAAGGCTTCAGACCATTGCCAGCTTCTCACTCGGTTGGCATTGTGTAGAGGCAACCATGATTTAACTTCATTTGTGAAAAATAGGAACTGGGCTGAGAAAATTACAGCTCTGACAAATTCTCTGTGAGGGCTGTTGAAACTTAGTTTTATATTATTTCTGAAGGGAGATGAGATAAAATAATCTTACATAATTCAAAGCCTCTTCATAATCGATTTTGTAATGATTTCCTTGGAATAATTAGGAAAGACAGAAACCATGCCATTTTAATCTTCCTTATGAATGCCAAAGGGAAAAAATTCTTTCATGTACAAATGGCATGGAAAAGCCATATTTGTAAAGCTGTACAATCTGGAGTGTGCAGTCTGGGCTTTGGTAGAAAGAAGTCATGGTAAAAGCAACACAGGTAAGTTCACAGCCTTCACTCCTTATGTCCAGATGAGAACCCTCCCAAGGCTGTGTCTTAAGACACGGTTGCTGGTGAGGATTCTTGAAGATGGGAGTCCGCTAGGCTCTTAAGATGAGTAAGAAGACGGTGTGGCACACAAGCTACCATATTTGCCCAAACAGTGCCCCAAATTCATAGATGTGACGTATTGTCCTGACAGCACACACCTAGCACTTCTCTTTGTGCCTCTCCACGTGGCAGACAGATGGTTAATTAAAGGCCTTATTTCTATGGAAAGCCAGCCTTGGCAGGTTTATGCCGTTGAATCCATAATGATTTGGCTTTCTGTTTTATCTTGGATTTGCTTTCTGCTGGTGGAAGATCCTCCTTTAATCACAGAATGTTGACAGAACAGTGTGATGGTTTGTTTACTATCTGGGTTCCACCATTCATAATTAGTCTGCTATGGTTGGTCCCATGTGAGGGAAGGAAGTTTGTTTTTCTCCCTGCCCCCACCCCTTAGACTGTTAAACACAGAAACATGTCTTGAACTGGTCACATGTAGATTTGCCTATAGCGAACTACAGTTGCCTTCCTCATAAAAGCAGAAGAAATAGCTTTACAGCTCATTAGACACCAGGACAGCCTCCGTACATCTGGTGTCAGAGGCCAGTTCATGGAAGCAAGCCTGGTGAACGACGTCATCTCACATAGCACAGTTATGTGGACCCCAGGAGGCAACTACATGGAATTTAGTAAAAACTTCAAAAGAGTGAATTTCTTTTCCCCTTCTGTTTCATTTTCTAAGCCAATCCAGATATTTGATTTTTCACATGGTTTCTGTGAAATCCAGAAATGTGAATGAAGGTGGTATTAAGGCCAAGCCGGACTTACCCAAAGCAGCCATCTCTGGCCAACGACATATGCAACCTTGGCCAAGTGTGGCACGTGGCCCTCTCCTGCCTAGCATTCTGTACCTCCCGGCCCTTCTGCAATGACTGGAAGACAAAACCCAGAAACATGCTTCTGTGGACAGCGGTCAGGGGAAAATGCATTCCATTTGTTAGCAGGGGAGGAAGTAGGAGTCAGTGAAACATTGCAGAGCTAAGCTAGATAATAAAGTATGGCATCAAAATGCAAAAGAGAAGGAAATGTTCAATAGGGAAATGAAAGGGGCTTCTCCCGTTTACTAATGACCATCAATACTTTTTCAGGGCCCACAGCCTGTCTCCCACAGATCACCAAGCAGCTTTCTACCTGGCTCTGCAGCTGGCCATCTCCAGACAGGTCAGTGTCTCTAGAGTATACACCATCTCTCCGTCCAATTCCTTCAGCATCTCTGAGGCAGTAGATGGCCTTCCTGTACCTGAGGCTGACTTGAAGCTTGGGCTTTGGGTCAGTTTGAGCATCAACTGTGAAGACCCCAAACTGCTCTTAGAGATGAAATCCACAAATCTGGATAATCCAGCCTAGGCTCAGATGACAACTTGGGATGTACAACAATGACATACACCTTAACATCAAGAGTCCTTAAAGAACTGGTCCCTTGCTAACAGGAATGAGGTAGCAAAGCCCAGAGTTGAGTGGCAGGGTAGGGATGTAGCCACTGGTGTGGCCTGGCTGTCATAGGGTAGGGTATTCATGATCGACAGGAAGACGACGCCATCAGACATTAACAAAGCTGTTGGGTCTGTTAAAATGCGTGGAGCATATGAATCATGACAACCTGTGGTTACTCACAGTAGGAGACTGAACAGAGTTCTCCTTGGTGGGTGGGGCATAAGCTTCACTTCCCAAAGAGAGCTAAAGCTGCCTGTGACATTCTCATACCCCTCCTGTCCTCTCCCAGGGGATTCCAGTCACATACCTGCTTGTCCACCAGATGCTGGACACTGGTGGTAACCACAGTGGATTCCAGAGTACTGATGTTGGTGGGTTGGGGGTGGGGACGGAGGAGGAGGGAGGGATTGTGAATCAGAGGTCAGCTCCCCAGCAGGCCAGGCTCAACCATGCATCTAACTTCTGTCGCCCAGGGATGCTGTTGAGAAATGGCTCCTATTGGCAACCTGGGGATGGAGGAGACAAAGCTGCTTGCCCTGTAAAGGTCCTCTCACCTGGCCTGATGTGGCTCACAGTTGGATTGGCCAGAAGCTGCTGTTGGAGCAGACATGGTCTCCCCTTGGCTGGGAGCTCCTCCCACCTTCTCCTCAATGCCTCCTCCCCTGATAACCTGTATTTCTTGCTCAGCTCTTGAGGCTGCAGGAGGTCAGGCACCCACATCTGGCATAGCCATTGCCTTCCTCTGTCACTTGGCACCCAGTAAGACTAATGAATGAGAGTCAACTTTGAAGTCTGTCAAGTTGTCTACAGACATCATTTTGTATTCTGGGTCAGTTTGTCCCTGCTTACACTGGCCATCGGTGCAGGTCAGCCCTATCAGGCCAGCCTGCCATTTGACCCTCCCACAGCTACACGCTGAGTCCTAGTCCCACAGTAGGCTGTCACCCTGGCGAGTGATAAATAGATGGGGTCTTGTGAATCCAACTGAAGGCTTAGGGCACATGGTGGAGAAATGCCAGAGTGCTCAGCAAACAGTTGTGACCCTCCTGTCCAATTTAGAGCCACAGCCATCTGGTCGGGAGAAAGGGGTAGAAGAAATCAGGAGATCTAGAGTCACTTAGTTTTGGTCAGGTGGCAGCTGGGTGACCATCCTCAAGTCATTTCACCTCTCAGTACTTTTGCGTCTTCCCTGCAAATAAAGGGTAGGAAGAGCTGGTCTCCCTGCCAGTTGTGACAGCCATGGTTCTGGCTGGCTTTCAGAGCCTCCAGCACCAACACTTACAAGTAAATCCACATAGAACAAAAGCTCAAGGAGAAAAATCAAATGGTTTGACTTCGACCAGGAACTGAAATTACTGAGGCTTTGAAGAGAACCAGACCAGCTGTAAGGCAGCCCCACGGAGGCTGGAATCTGAGTCTAGAGGGTCAGAGTCTCTGGAGTAGATGTGGCAGAATGCTTCTGTTCCCAGCTCTGTTTCCCTTGGTTGCTGTTAAAGCTATGTGGAATCTAGGTTATTCAAATAGCCGCTGTGTATGCATTTTATCAACTCTGTGATGGGCAGCTTTGAAGAACATTCTGTGCAGCTGTTGCATTTAAAGATTAACGTTGTTTCTGGTCCCATTTGAATTCAGATACAATGCTACTTTGTAATGCCACTTTGATTGTGGCGTTATCATTTGTATCTTGGGATCCAGTTATTTGGGGTCCAACTTTGGAAATGTACAGAGTTTGTGTGTGTGTGTGTGTGTGTGTGTATTTCCTTCATGTCCAACAGAGATTCAAACATCTGATCATTTGGAAAGTTCTATTCAAGGTTTTCATGACTTTAATTTCTGAAATACCTTTAAAAAAACAGTTCAGCAAGGTACTTGAATTCCACAAAGAACCACAGATAATTGTGTCTATTGACAGTGAAATTGTAAAGAACATAATCAAAAGGAGGTGCATTTGGGGGGAGGGAGGAGAAAGTGTTTATTTAAGAGATTGGGAATTGGCAGTTACGTAGAGAAAAGCTTCTTTGATATAGCTTCATCTGTCCTCTGGCTGGAAGTGAGCATCTATTTCTATCCAGGGGTTGCTGTGAAGGTCTGGCTTAAAATGTGGATGTGACACAATACAAAGTAACTATTGGCCTTTACAGAGACAGTTCCTTCTTTGTGGTATGATTGTGTGTGTGTGTGTGTGTGTGTGTTTAAAAACACCCTTTGATTTTGCTCTGAACTAGATACCTGAGGCTCTCGGGTACGTCCGCCAAGCTCTCCAGCTTCAAGGCGATGATGCCAACAGCCTGCACCTCCTTGCCCTCCTCCTGTCAGCACAAAAGCATTACCACGACGCCCTCAACATCATCGACATGGCCCTGAGCGAATATCCAGAAAATTTTATGTAAGTGATCCTCACTCAGAAGTTATTAAGTGCACTTCTTCCCTGCTCCTTCTCCCACCTGTCTAATGTAAGTTTTTATGAGCATTCTGAAATAACACAGAATCTCCTTTACCCTGTCTTTTTTTTTTTTAATGGTTCACTAGCTAAACTGCTTCCGTTTGTTCCTGGCATGTACCTTTGGAGAACACAGGAGGATTTTAGACAGATACATCTTTTAATGCATATGTGAGGGGAGGGAAGAAACATGTCTGTCAATATGAGATGTTGATCCAGGGGGAAACTAAGAACCTTAATCAATTTGAAGAAAAATATGAAGTCAGTACAAATTCTAATATACTTGGAGGTGGCAAAAATGCTGTCAAACTTCAGCAGCTGGAATTTGGGAAGCATCGCCATGTTGCCTGCGTGTCCTGTTACCGTGGGCAACTTGAGTCCACCTTTTGAACCTTACTTTTATTCTCTAGGAACTAGCATTCCTTAAATATAAGTCAATCAATATTTGTACATGCTCTACGAATTGTCATATGCTTGAATTGCCTATTTGTCTTCACATCTTTCCTCTGACTCACACGTTTATTGAACCGGTGCATTTGGAATCCATGCCTGATGGTTAGGCTTTGTGTAAAGCGTTGCCTTCGGCTACTGGGTTACCATCGCTGTCCTCAATGGTAGCTTAGTAACCAGCACACAGTGGCCAGAAATAGTAACGCCTCCTGCAGGCTGGAAGGTTCAAATTGTCTAGGTGGTTCTAGAGAGCCAGAGATGGGGAGGGGCAGCTTGGGGCCTTGGGGCGAGGGGAGATAGGAAGGAATGTAGAAGGTGGCTCTGGTGGCCTCCTTCGCTCTCAGAAGTGATTGCAGCCGCAGCCTGTAAGTGGGTCAGCTTTGGCTGGATTTCTCCACCTCTTCACCTCACTGTGTTTTTAATCAGTGCTTTTCAGCAGCTCTCCATGGAAAATCGGTTCACACATTTTCATCACAGACATTTCTTTGTCTTCAAGTGAAAAGGACATTTCTCTCCCCATCAAGAAATTCTTGTTATGAAACTTCTTGACTGGAGATTTCTGTTGTAGGCTCAGCTCTTGATGCAGCATGAATTACAGAACTCTGCTGCAGTGTTTACTTTGGCAGATCTCTAACTTAATCTTTTGTGCACCTAATTCTGTATTTTATTCCAAGGTGTTTGACCCATACAGCCTTAAAGTGGCTAGATTAACTTCTTAAAAAAAAAAATCTGTTCTTGCCTGGGGCCAGTGGCTCACACCTGCAATTCTGCCTACTCAGGAGGCTGAGACCTAGAGAATCAATGTTTAAAGCCAGCCCAGGTAGAAACGTTAATGAACTCAGGAGGCTGAGATCTGAGGATCACAGTTCAAAGCCAGCCCAGGCAGGATAGTCTGTGAGACTCTTATTGCCAATTAACCAACAGAATACCAGAAGTGGTGCTGTGGCTCAAGTAGTAGAGTGCTAGCCTTGAGTTGAAGAGCTGAGGAACAGCACCCAGGCCCAGAGTTCAAGCCCCACAACTGACCAAAAATAAAGAAAAGAAAAGTTAATGAGATTCCATCTCTAAGTAACTAGCAAAATATCAGACTGGAGGTCTTTCTCAAGTAGTATAATGCCAGTCATGAGCACGAAGCAAAGTAAAGAACACAGGGTCCTGAGTTCAAGTTCCAGTCCTCCAAAAAAAAATCAGGCCTTTCCCCATCCTGATACAGGAAAGTACAGCCTAATGTAATTAACTCAGTTTCTCTTCGCTGTATTTATCAAGTACCATTGCTTCCCACCTCTGGCCCACATGTGCCCAGGTGTGTGCATTCCATGTTGGACTCCAGTGTGTGGTTGCTGTTTCCACAGCCTACAGTGTCACGATGAGTTCATTAGACTAGCAGCCACCGCAGCCGATAGGCAGTAAACAGTGGTGACTGGTATGTGAGTACCTCAGAGTGACAGCAGCTGACAGCCTTTTCAAGTAGTCCGCAGAAGGAACAGCAGTGGAGATATTTGAGGAATGCAGGCCTGTTATTTTAATGTTAAGCTGTAAGCTGGAAAAAGCAAAAGCATATGGCAGCAGGTCTGAGACCAGCCGAGACTGCTTGGATTTTAAAATATCTGTTTCTTCCTTTGTGATGGGAAGCTTCTTCCCAAGCATACTTATTAAAAGTTGAGGCCATGTGTCATTAGTGGATCCTGACAAAATTTGAGTGGGCACTGTCCCAGCCAGGCCGTGCTGTCTGCCTGTTGGTGACAAGTAAGCCAGGCCTCCGGCAGAGCCAGCTCACCAGGGGATGGTTCATCAGGAGTTGTTCCTTGGAAGTGAAAATCCTTCCCAGTTAGGGTCGGCCATGTTCATCTCTTGACCAGTTGCCAAATAGGACAGCTGAAGGCTCTTAGGAGAACAGCCGATCTTCCAGCATTCGCCATCTGTATTCGTCTGTTTTCTGTTGCTATAACAAAACATCTGAAGGTGGGTTAGCATGGGCAGAGAAAGGAGGTTTATTTAGATCACAACTGGAGGTTCCAGAGCATGGTGCCACATTCAGCTCTGGTGAGGGCCCCCTTGGCTACATCACATCAAGCAGGGCAGATGGCATCCTGGAGGAAACTCAAGCCAGAAGGAGAGGTCACCCGGGAGACAGGAAGCCCGAGAGTGGGAGGAGCCAGCCCTGCTCTTTTGTAATAGCCCATTCTTGGGAGAACTGAGAGCCACAAGAATTCATCTGTTACCTCAGAGGCAAGGCCCCGAACCCTCCACATCGCCTCACTGAAGACCATGTATGCTTCCAGCACACGAACTCTGAGAGACATACTTGAACCTTATCCACACCATACAGCCTCTGCTTTGGTTTGGATGACTGACCTTCAAAGGCCCATGTGTTTCAGGCTTAATCCCCAGCGTGGTGGAGCCTAGTGGGAGTCCTAAGGTCACTGGGGAGGACAGGGGGTGATCTGCTCATCCTCTTGTTTTGCTTAGAGTGGGGGGAAGGGGAGAGTGACCCTGCTCATCTCTAGTTTTGTTTCCTTCTTTCACTTCCTGGTTCATGAGGTGAGTGTTTTACTCTACTCTGAGCTCCCATCATGCTGTGCTGCTCTTGTCAGGGGTCCTAGAATGATGGGCCTACTGGACCTTGGACTGGAACTTCCAGAACCATGAGCCAGCATAAGCTTTTCTCTTTATAAGTTCACTGCCTGGGGGAAGGTGGGAATTCTGCTGGGGATTGCCAACAAGCCAGGCCCTCAACCCTTTGGGTTTAACTTTATTCTTTAGCTAGTCCCACACTAACTTTGCCTAGACCCCTCTGGAACCTCTGCCTCCTGAGAGTGGCTGAGACCAAAGATGAATGCCACCATACCCATGATCTGCCTACTTAAGGTTTCCTGACCTAGCTAGAATAACGGGCATGTGCCACTGTGTCTAGCTCTCAGTTGAGAAGGGCTCTCGTGAGACACTGGTGCCCAGCTCTCTTTACTAATATTTAAAAAGAACTTTATGTTGGTATGCAACATAGGCTTAGAAGGGTTTTCTTTGTCCTTATACCCTTGTTAGCTTTTAACATTTAGCTTAGACTAGCCTTATAAAATGATTTGGAGTAGGGTGTGCATGTGTGTGCGTGCATGCGTGTGTGTGTGTGTGTGTGTGTGTGTGTTTGTGTGTGTGTTTTAGCACCATTTGTTCCTTGAATATTAAATTTAAGTAGAATTCACCCATAAAAGTATGTGTGGCTAATCTTTTTGTTTTCCTATGATATTTCCGCTGCTTCTTAAAAGAAATGATTATAGGAAGTTTTCTACTTCTATGAACTTTCTATTCCTTATTTTATGAGGTAGTATATTATGAGGAAATCTATAAAGTATACATTCAACAAACGTCTACATCATCTAAATTTTAAATCTGTTGGCATGAAATTGCTCTTACTGGTTTTTATTTACTTATTGCCATATCTACAATAGCTATAGTTGTCTTCTTTTTCATTCCTGACATGATTTCGTTGGGCTGTCTGCTAGATACTTACTTGTTACTCTCATCTTTTCAAAGAACAAGTAGCTTTTTTTAATCACTGCAATTGTTGGTTGACTTTCTTTTTATTAATTTCTGTTGATTATTTTCTGTCTTCCATTTTCTTTGGGATTGTCCTGCATGTTTAGTTTATTAATATTTGGCCTTTCTTCGCCTCAGATCTAAATATTTAAGACTAAGAATTTCCCTTTAAACATTAATTAAGCTGTAATCTACACGTTTTTCAATATGTGAAATTTTTATTATTGTTCAGTTCTTAATACTTTCAATATGCCTATTGTTCTCAGTGGCCTATTAGTTTCTTTAGAATTGTGTTTTTATAACTTCAATTTTTAAGTTTTTTGCAGCTGAACTTTATTATGGGCTTTTAAAGTCTTTGAATTGTATTTCAGTACTGTAATCACTTAGCTTTGAAATGTGTTGAACTTGGTTTATGGCTCAGCATGGGGTCACTTTTTGTAAATATTCCTTGTGTGCTTAAAAAGAATGCTTTCTGCAGTTGTTGAGCCTCATTTTATACATATTTTGCTATAATCCATACTAGTCAGATCCTGTTATTCTGATTTTGTGGTCCATGTAATAGATCAATTACCAAGAGGACATATATTGAAGTATTCTTCTAGGATGGCATCATAGCCTTTTTCACCACATATTTAAGGCAGTTTTTGCTTTGTGTGTTTTCAAGCCAGGCTATTACGTGCATATAACTTTAGCACTGCTCTATCTCCCTGGTATAGTCAACCCTTTGTCATTAGGATGTTAAGGTATAATGATATTTTGCTTCAGTTTAGTCCACATTCACATACACATGTCTATGTATATGGATGCCTAAGTATATTTATAGTCTTGGACTATCTTCTATTCTTTTTGAATTTTTATACCTATTCATATATATGTGTGTTTGATATATTGCTCACTATTTATAGCTGATTTTTAACTCCCATTGTCAGTCTTAGCTGTAACACTTGGTTTATTTCTTTTTT